AACCCAAAAGAGTCCCCCCCTCTCCCAAACCAACAAACCAATCAGCCAAAATGACTTTTCACCTTCACCTTTTTACTACCCCCCCTTGTACGGTATCTTTACTGTCAACCCCCTTCCCTCCCTCTCCCCCTTCCCTCCCTACCTGAAGTTTAGGTCTCCACACCAGAACACACAATCAAAAGAATCAAAAATATCTCTTCTTCTCTTTAAGGGCAGGACCTGGAGTTGGGATAAACAAATAATATGCACATCAGAAGAAAAAATGAATTTTTGTCAAAAATGGCGGTTTAAAAAAAACTTTCATAAAACAACACTCATCATAGCGAACATTATTATTTTAGTATTTTAGTACCGGCAATACAGTCTCATAAACAAATATAAGCACTTTTTTTTTAAATTCAAGAACAAGTCAATAAAAGGAAGATTTGTAAGACTAATGTATTCCATGTGTGCTCTCTATTAAAACATCTCTCCAATATAAATGGAATTGAATCCCCATGGATGCAACAGGAGGGGGGCTGGGGGGGGGGGGTTATGAGACGGTTTTCCAATACTAAAATACTAAAATACCAATGTTCGCTCACGGGCACCCGTAGTGCATTTGAATTTCCTAGCTGGGTCAACTTTTCCGGTCCCAGTTTGTACTGTATCGCCCGGCCATCGGGTAAATAAAGCATAATATAGGACTAGCCGGTGCAACAAGGTTGACGCGGTCAGACTTTAGGTTGATTTTACTTTTACTAAAGAGTCAGGGGTGCGTCCGTTGTGGGGAGTGTTGTAAAGAATCCATTTAATTCTTCGATACATTAACATATTTGAAATTTTCAGGGGCGTGCTCGGGGGAGCGGGGGAGGGCTCAGGGGACATGGGTCCCCATTTCTAGGATCACTGATATCTATGGTTTCAGTTCCCAATCGCCCACTGGCAACAAAAAAAATTAAGCCCCCGGTTCCTTTGTTGTATTTAGTTTTACTTTTGCTGAGTTTTTGATTGTTTCTGCCAGCATGATATAGTATCTGCAGAACACATTAAAGTACAAAGATATGGATGTTTCTGTCACCTCCCTTGAATCTAGAGATAAATAAAGTGCAGTGTAGCCATAATCCAATAATCTTGAAAGAAACTTAAAACAGGGTATCGCTTTGAAACCCAGTATCGGATTCGGAAACCGGGTTTCACGAATGGGGTAAGACAATTTCGTAGATATCGAAAAATATGTAAGAAAATTTATTATATTTACAATATGATTCTTTGGGTTTTTAGACATAATTTGTTTTTTCCTTTGGAAGGTTGAGCATTGCAAATATTTTATGTAAATCCTTTACTCGGTCTTTTACAAAACTAGAAAAAGGAACACTAAACTAGAAAAAGGAACACTAAACTAGAAAAAGGAAAGATAATATTTCTAGTACACTAAATTAATCCTGAATTAATACCTGATGGGCAGTTAGATGTGAGTTTACAAATATGAATGAGGTACCAAATATAATAAAAGCTACCGCCAGAGCCCCCTGAAAATATTAGATAGTTATTTGGTTTAAACTGATGTCGTAGACTCCGTACTCCGTAGAAAAACTATGTAGTATGCTAGATTAAATAGTTAAAGTTTGAAATATCACAGGTTAACACAACCAGGTTGTAAAAGTAAAAGGATTAAAAAATTTTAATTCAAAAAGTCTGTTCTTGTTCCTGTTCCTGTTCCTGTTCCTGTTCCTGTTCCTGTTCCTGATCCTGTTCCTGTTCCTGTTCCTGATCTTGTTCCTGTTTGTTGTAAATCCAATTTTTTGAGTTTGTAAACCTGAACTATATTGCCATTTTCCACATTTTGATTAATTATTATCAGCAGTCAAAACCCGATAAAAATATTATGACATGTTTATAAAGGATATTTTATTATTTGTATAATATAGTAAAAAATGTTTACTAACATTTAGTATTTTCATTAAAAGTGAACATGCATTCAAACATGGTCCGCTTTAAACATTTATTTGATAAAAAACGTGGAAGATATCGTCGTTTTTCAGATGAATTTCCTTCATAGTTTCTGTTGCATAAGATGTTTTATAGAGATAATACAATTTTACATCCTGAAACAAACAAACCTTTTGTTGTGAATGGAACACAAGGATTACGTTGTGAATGGGACACATAGGATTATGTTGCGAATGGGACACAGTGAATGGGACACATAGGATTATGTTGCGAATGGGACACAGGATTACGTTGTGAATGGGACACATAACACTACGTTGTGAATGGGACACATAGGATTATGTTGCGAATGGGACACAGGATTACGTTGTGAATGGGACACATAGGATTATGTTGCGAATGGGACACAGGATTACGTTGTGCATGGGACACATAGGATTACGTTGTGAATGAGACACATAGGATTACGTTGTGAATGGGACACAAAGGATTACATTGTGAATGGGACACAGGATTACGCTGTGAATGGGACACAGGATTACGTTGTGAATGGGACATATAGGATTACGTTGTGAATGGGACACATAGGATTACGTTGTGAATGGGACACATAGTATTACGTTGTGAATGGGACACAGGATTACGTTGTAAATGGGGCATATAGATTACGTTGTGAATGGGACATATAGGATTACGTTGTGAATAGGACACATAGGATTACGTTGTGAATGGGACACATTACGGTTTTACCTTTGTTTTAAACTGTGCCCCAGGTCTTGTACTGTACAGCAATAAATTCTGCTTTTACGATAATACTAATACTAATAAGTGACCTAATTTGACTAGAAATGACATAAAATGACCTAATTTGATCTGAAATGACCTAATTTAACCTAAAATTACCTAATTTGACCTGGAAGGACATGAAATGTCTTTATCAGACTTGAAATGACCTGAAATGACCTTATTTGGCCTGAAATGATCTGAAATGACCTAATTTAACTTGAAATGACCTAATTTGACCTGAAATTACACGATCTTCCATATTATTGTAAATCACTGAATTCATATTCTTCCCAGAAACTAAGTAAACAAAGATAAAGATGTTCCTGGTATATATACCTTGATTTAATCTAAATTTACATCACCTGACTCAACCTCACATGACCTTTGGAAACATAATTTAATCCAAGAAAATTACACCAGGTACCTCCTAATCTCTGTTAAGAAAATTACACCAGGTACCTCCTAATCTCTGTTAAGAAAATTAAACCAGGTACCTCCTACCAGGTACCTCCTAATCTCTGTTAAGAAAATTACACCAGGTACCTCCTAATCTCTGTTAAGAAAATTACACCAGGTATCTCCTAATCTCTGTTCATTGAAAAGTGTAGTACTGCAGTACTTTTGTTTTATAAACATAGATATGAATGGTCTACCTCTAGCATGATCAAACAACTCTTTCCCATTTACCAGCCAAAGCTAATTGTAGATGATATAAAAACTTTATAATTTCAGATTTCTTCAAAGCTGAATTTTGTTTCCTAAAGCTATCATCCTCTGGTATACTGCAATACCAGATTAAATCTCTCCTAGAAAATAGAAATATGAAATATTTTTGGGACAAACTTTAAACTTTTATTCTTTTTTTCTGATTTTTGATCTTTTTAAGTAAAAAAAAACATTTTCTGTTTGCATGCTTGCTAGTTTAGAATAGTGTTGTGTATGCATGTATAATGTGTATCTACACAATATATCTGTTTAAATTTTCTAAGTTTGAAAGTGTAATTCAACAAAAACATTCCTCCTGGAGAAAAGTTTTCCGGCTAGGTCTGGACAGACCAAACTAAATTTTCTTTTCAATCCGTTTTGCCAAGTTAACTCAAGAAGGATGAATGGGTTTTATAAACTTTAGATTCAAACTCCGTAATACTATATTAGTGTTTAAAGAGTTATTTTTATTCTAATATAAGATACTACAGGATGTCCAAAAAAACATGGGAATTTAGTGACGAATTCGATATCGTCTTTGTTATTAATTAGCATTGTATCCCGGGTAGAATCTTAGAGTCTGAAACCTAGTCTTAGACGCCGGGCCGACCTCCTCAGACCCTCTGTTTTTGGAAAAAAATATCAAATTTCACCAAATATATGTAATATGAGAAAAAACCATTAAAATATTTGAGCATTCCTCTCCCCATCCCTTTCTTCAAGCACCCCTCCATCGTC